TGGGGGCAAGGGGCTGATAGGCAGCTATCTCCTCGGCCTCTTGAGCTCAGACGCTCCAACCTCGCATTCTTGATGCCCCTCTGTGCCCCTCTTCGTTCTAATTCGCCGTGCCACCAGACACATGTATGAATGAATGTTCGAACACGGCCTGGGGAACATTTTACACACAAAAAACTAATTGGGTGTTTAGTTACTTGTCTGCGGTGCATAGAGTCACTCACATGAGCGGTTTATGAGCATTGACTAAGCAGTCTCACCTCGGGAGGCTGGGGCCCCTCTCCGACTTCCCGTCCATTTAATACTGGGCCAATCATCCCCGCGTCCGCATGCGCGGCGAAAATTTTAACGGCTTTCGAGCGCACATACGTTTGCTCAGCCAACAAGACGGGGGAAGCGTATTTCAAGGCCTGCACCTAAGTGTTAGCACATGTATATCATGTCTGCCAAGAGAAGTGCTCATTTCGAGTACCGACCTCTCCTGCCAAGAAGCATCCTCGAATGCGTAGGATAAATGGGCTGAACTTGGCTAACCCGGGACACGGAAATAATGGACAGTAGAAGGCCGATCACTGTGTGACTAGACCCCCCGATATTCTGCGCTACAGAGAAGCCTTAGAGGCGGGGTCCATCCATCCAGAACTCCCATCTTGAGTGCATATTCCGCATGCGTTCGTCCGTTAGAATATATTTGGGAAACACAAAATTGTTCGTAATATTCCAAAAGCTTGATGGCTTTACAATAGAAACAATGCACGACACAAGCAAGCGAACTCAATCCTCTGGTCTAGTTCAAATCACACAATGCACTCACTGCTTTACATGTGCATGAATGAATGCAATCACTTGACAGCATACATCTGAAAGAGCGTCAACAACCATGCAAACTGTCAATCATGTACAGCACATTGCATGAACTCAAGGAAGACCAGCAAACTTTGGGCACAGATGTAGTCACGACTGCACTGCCAGAAAACAACCGCAAAAGAAAGAAAATGGAAAAATAAAGTTCGGTCGGCGTTTGCACCTGCAAGACATCGGCTATTGAACATGGGATGCATCAGCCGGCTCTGTGCATGACCAAATGTCTGCTGTGGATGTAAATATCAGATCGCTTCGGATTTTTGGACTGTTAAATGATGTGTTCAGTGAGAGTGAGAATGGATGATAATTTGAGAACATGGAGCAGGACTATCCGTTAACAGAGGGGCCTCCATCCCTGCTTAGTACCAGAGCAAAATTAGGTAGTTGTTGGCGCCGCAAAAGATACATAGTTCGGTCCAAATCTCAAGAGTGGTTCACATGCAATCCGGGCGCAGCCACTGTGACAACAGGGATAGCATGGACGATTGGCGATGTCAAGGTTGCATTAGCGGGGTGGCAGGAAAGGACATCGCCCAGACACAGCAGAGATGATGCGAGTCATGACGGTACCAAATACCAGACATGCGGGATTAGATGGGCGGGATTGGCCTGTAAGTGTGACATTCAAATCCGCAAGCATAGCATCAGGGCGCCCGTTCAGAGAACTGCAAGTTGGTGCGTAGAGACCGGAAGAATACATCTCAAAAATCGGTGCCCAACTAAAATCAACCGGTCACCGAGAGACGTGACCTGTTGTAACCATCCACGTCACCACCACGTATTGAAGAAAGTCCTGTAAACTGTACACGGTAAATACCAAGCCCACAAAAACAGAAATGTTAAAAATTAGAACTATCTTGTCCATTGGGGTTGGACGATCCCATGATGCTTGCTTCGCCATGTGCCAAATAGTCAAAGCTTTCTTCGCTAGTTGCGGTTGCAGGTGGGCTGGGAGAAGCAGCTTCAAACTTCTCACTTTCACCAGGTTTGTCAAGCTGAGCATTTGGATGAGACCATGATTTATCTCCGACCCACTCAACGCCATCACCAGAGCCCCATTTCCCAAATTTTCGTCGACTCTTTTCCCGCTCTGCTAGCGGGAACTCGGAACTGTTGGAAACAGCGTGCTGGGCGGGAAGAAGCGTTCTCCGATGCCACTCACCCAAGAACATCCCGTGAGGGTCAGCCTCATTTCTGACTCGCAGCCATTCATTCAAATCAGCGCCATACATTTCCTGGAAATCGGCAGGCCCTAGGTTTTCACCAAAATTTTTGGCCCAGTGAGGACGCCCACCCAAATCCCTCATCAACCATTCAAACGCTTCATAGTATCTTGCTGTACAAGGCGGATCGCGAAGATGTGGGCGGTAAAGTGTGGCGTTGAGATAAAGCGTCGGGCCAGTTTTGTTGGTTTGCTCCAAATAGGGCCGGGGTGTCTCCGATTTAGATGTATCCGAAACTCGGACTTCAATTGGGCAATGGACCCACAACCCCTTGGGACTGAACGGAATGTTAGCAGCCTTAGCATCGCCATTGAGCCATGCTGACAGCCGAGAGATCGCTTGTGGTCCCTTTTCGAGAGGAATAGCCCATTCATTGACGAATTGGGAGTACAGGCAATTCATTAGCAAACCAGTTCGGCCAGGTTCAACCGCTTCTGCCACGTATTTTCCAGGTTTGAAGCCATATTGCATGCCGAAAATGAACCATTCGATCCAGGGTAATATTCTTGGAAAGTAATTGGACAGGTACAGCAAATTGTGATAAATTGCGTTGCCCAATCGGCCACCATAGAAAGTTGAACGTGGTTTCCGAAGTGGCAGATCGGTTTTGTCGGCGCGCCAAACGACAGCACGCTTAAGATAAGGCAGCCACCAAACACGAACGTATTCCGAGCTCGTCCATAACCCAGAGTCCCATTCTTCCAACACTTGCGGTAGAGATTTTAGGGTCTGTTTCCAGGCGATATTGAACGTGGGCACAGCCTGGATCGTTATCTCAGTGATGATCCCGAGAGCACCAAGCGACAAGAGAGCAGCTCGAAATAGCGAAGGATTGTTCGTCTTGCTACATCTCACGACCTGACCATTTGCAAGCGCTATCGACAGCGCCTGCACCGAATCGGACAGCAACCCGAACCGCAAAGAGCTACCATGGGTGCCAGTAGATATCACACCCGCAATTGACTGACTGTCAATGCTTCCGAGATTTGGCAGCATCAAACCGCATTTTTCTAATTCGTCACCCAGCTGCCACAGCCTTATTCCCGATTCAACAGTTACCACTCCCGTCTCGCGTGAGAACGACAGGATACGACGGAAATTGTCAAGGTTGACAATCCACGATGATGTACAGGTCAAATCTGAAGGTGAGTGGCCGCTGCCCACGGTCACGAGCCGTCGACGGCATTTGCGCGCTAGATTGACAACCTTTTGAATTTCAGCAACAGATTCAGGCTGGATGTAAAGCTCCGGCTGGGAATAAAACGTCTTGGCCCAAGTGTGGTGCAAGTGCGCTTTGGTCGCTCGAAACGGGACGTCTGGGTCGAGCTTTGACAGCTCGTATGACACCTGTGGATCAAGTGAGTCCATGTTGTCCGTCAAGAGATTCCAAACACCTCTTCTTCTCCTGTTCTCTCGGTTTCCTTTATCAGTGTGGAAAAGATTTGCTGTGCGCTACGCGACAAACAATTTTGCTACGTAACCTTGCGGTCAGATGGCAAGAGTCAACAGCGGTGTGAGTTCTCAACCCCGCACGATCAATCCTCAACTAACATAGACAATCATAAGCAAACAGCTAGCACTCAGACACACTGTAAATTCATTCCCGCAGTATAGCCCAATATTGCGAAGTATAGCGGTTGATACTGGGAGAAGATGAAAGAAGAGGGTGAGAGGAAAAACCGGAGTTGAGCGAAGTCGCTCGGAGAAACTAGAGTAAATTGAACAGTAGATTGACGATGCCCCCACAGACAACCCAAACTTTCGCCAAGGAATCAAAAATATGCGGTGTTGCTCACGGCGCAAGATATCCTGTCCGTCGCAGGGTCAAGAAGAGTTTCGCATCGCAAAAGCAGATTTGTTGTGGTTCGCCTCCAGAAGCCGAGGATATGCGCAGCCTCTACAAAGACCTGAATTTGCACTTTCGGTTTGATGTGACTGGTAAGTTTTTCTGTTACTTACAGAACAGCATCAATGGTCTAGTGGTATGACGCTTGCCTTCCAAGCAAGCTGCCCGCGTTCGATTCGCGGTTGATGCAGAATTATCTGAAGTCTCTGTCTCTGTCTCTCTTTTTTTTCTCCCATCTTTTTTGGGATATGGGGGCCGTCGTGAAGATTATATCAAAGGACGGCACGGCATGTTCCGTCTTGGCTGAGACACATCAAGGCCTGAAATATTGAACTTTTACTTAAGATACGGACAACAAATTGACGGAATCAAAGGAGAAGTGCTAGAAGCATGGGAAAAAGGGGGATGAGCTCAAGGAGCTTCTCAATTACGTGTGTCCAGCACCTGTTCCATTCCTTTGATTGAACGTCCAGTCTTTTGTAGTACATACATCACTGCTATCGCTCCAGTCATGCTAGCTAGAAGTACAGCAAGGTATGTATCATCCGATGGCAAACGAAGCAAATTTATTTAGCTATGCATGGGAATCTTCAAGACAAAAATATTAACAAAGACGAGAGTCATGGCAAACGATAGGCTCAACCGGATTACTAACCAACAACATGCTTATGCACCGGAAATAAAGGAAAATTTTGGACTGGAAAAGAGAAAGGGAAATCAATGTACCGCTGAGCGATTCACATGAATCGCTCATCTAATTGCCTCGATTGCCGCATTCAGTGGCAGAACCCGAACAGGCTGGCCGTTGCTAAAACCATCCAGACGATCGTCCCACTTTCTAAACGCGCGCTTGCACTCTTCTGTCAATCCATTTAAGACAACATAGCTCTTTGGAAGGAAAGGCCTGTCTTGTTCAGAAACAGCGAGGAAACCGTATTCTTGAGCAAACACTAGAGCAGATGCGAATTCCGCGGAGCGCGAAAAGGCCTGCCCACCAACAATGCTACATGTGTGTATGATTAATTTTGGTTCAAAGAGCTGTGGCGATTGAGAAGTAAATATGGGTCGACTTACACATAAATCTCGAAGAAAGCATCCAGGACATATATATGTCCGTTGTCGAGATCTCGCTGGCAGAAAGGTTCAATTGACTGCACCGTATCATTTGGTCGTGTTACGGGGGAATTGGCGCCCCGGCGGTTCCAAAACGCAGCACCAAACCCTTGACCAAGTCCATGGTCTATTCGGAACAATCGGGAGCAAAATTTCTCATTGTTTGGCTTGAATCTCCAATGATCAGCGGATGGATACGTTCGATCAACATGGGAATTGGGAAAACAATCAAAAAAACTGCTTGGCTCTTCGCCTTCGGTGATTTCTTCGATTTCACCCGTCAACCCGAGGTCCATTCCAATGAGTCGCGCACATCCGAGTTCGTCCGCGGTGCTACCTCGTCCTTTCCACAGATACAAGTTGCCAAATTTCGCAGATAAAATGAAAGGATACCCAGAACAGAGACTTTGACGCGTCATATCGACCTCATCGAAAGCTATCTGGCCTAGATGCCTGCGGCCGCAGAGCATGTATAGAGCCGGAGAATCGGCTCGGCTACTTGATCCCCGCCGCGTAAGGATAATGCCTCCAAGCGCTTGGATGAAATTCGCTGTCTCCTTCCCTTGTCGCAAAATCTCGAGTTTAGAGTTGTTCTCCCTGGCCAGTTTGCGGGCGAATAGCTGAGCGTCTTCGATAGTGCCTTCACTGATACCATCGCCACACCACAAATGCGTCTGGGTGGTGCTAGATCCATTGGCGGTCTCGAAGGTGTGAATGCACAAATACATACTCTGTTCAAAAAGAATGTATTCTTGGTTCGCCGGTAAATCCCTCCTTTTACCATCATTGCCGAATTCCCAGATCTGTCTCCTCACAGTTTTCGTTTTTGGAGATGGCACCGAGTTGGATGATAGAATGGCGGAAGGATCAATGTCGACTTTATTTTTAGCACTGGGGGCCACATCAAAAAAAGTAGAAAAAAGTCGCGCCGCTTCAGGTGTTTGAGGGAACGGTGAAGTAGACGAGACGAGGCCTTGGCTGTTGGATTGGGCAGTATTGATTGAGGATGGCTTTGATGGCACCGGCGGACTTACGACACGTTTGCCTATATATGAAGATATTCCATCTCGTGAAGGGTGTGATTTCAGGCCCGTTACCTGAGAGTCGCCGGCTTCCTCGCTGGAAGCCGTTGACAAATGGCTGGGCTGCTTAATGTCATGAGCTGAAGATCTTTCGTATAAACGCGGCTTCTTCGGAATGATGGGACTCTGACTTGAACCCAAGGGAGAGGCTGGATAATTGGATACAGCTCTAGGGTTGTCTTTTGGTTCGGTGTTGATGCTAAGAGGGGATGGTTTTGATATAAGCCTGGCAGGCTCCTTCGGCTCAGAAGAGGTAGTGGAAGGTAGCAATTCAGGTTTACTGACGGCAAGATTTTTAGACGAGAGATCTGAGTGAAGGTTATTTGACTTGGGCAGACTGTTTAACGAATCAACTCGGCCAGAGGGCATCGCAGTCTCCTGGCCATTGATATTCAAAGATTCCAGCTGTTCAGTGAAGCCCGGCATACTTTTTGTTGGAGATATGTCGGTGGGATAGTCATCCAGTTTCATGCCTGGTGGAAAAGGGTCGTCGGCTTGTGGCGTGGATTGCGACCTCTCTGCCTTCACCTTCTGTGGCAATCGTCTTTTAGGGCCCTTGGCGCGGGATTTTGTCATGTGTGTTAGCGGAGCAGCTGAAGACTCTTGGGAACACCGTGTACTATAGATATCTACGGAATTCGCCGAAGCAGGCTTGGTTTCAGATGGTGGGCCTCTGGCAAGAATTCCCGCGAGCGCTGGATTTAGACGATCGGCAAGTTTACTCTTAACAGTTTCGCTGCGGGGACGAGGTGCTGGCGAGCTAGGTAGTGGCGAATGGGTCTTGATCTGAGCATCTTCGGGTATTTTCCGGGAAGGGTCAGGTATGGAAGCGACTGGCAACTGCTCGGGGGCATGTTCGTTTTCCGGCTGTTTTACAGGTGAGGTTTGACCTGATCGAAGGGATGGCTCTGATTCAATGTTGGAGTGTGAAAATTTTGACTGGAACGGCTTGGGAGTCAGAGGAATGCCGCTAGAAGTCGAAATATTGCTTCTCGTGCTATCAGACCTGTTCAATGCGTTTCTTCTTGCGATAGCTTCGGGAATTGGGGACTGTGGGGCTCCAGGGAGCCGCCTGTCATCGCTTGTCGTCCGTCTAATGGAACCTCCACCCACTTTCATCGCTTCTTTTTGCTTCAGAATGCTATCCTTGAATTCATCGACCCTCGGGGTTTTCCTTGGGCCTCCTGTTGCATTCAAAGCAGCTTTCCCTTTGAGAATATTCTCTTTGAGCTCATTGGGCGCAACGTAGTTTTTAGTCTCGGTTCTCCGCAGCTTTCCGAATACACTCTTAAACTCGGGCTCGTCGTTGCTAGGTTTCTCGATTGGAGCCTCACGACGCCGAAGGTTTGCACGGAAATCATTCACCGGAGGCCTTGGGCCCGGGGGTTTAGAGGTACCTAAGCTCGAAGGCACTTTTTCAATAGGACTGTTTGGTGACCTCGCTATAGGGGAGACGACAGGTGTGTTGCCTCGCGAAGCCTCGCGTATTTTCAACTCTAGTTCCTGGGATTTTGAAGGGATAGCTGGGTATTGCGACCGGGGTTTGTCTTTGGTTGTATCTTCCACAATACTGGAACTAGTTGTCTCGAACGGGGTTTCTGAACCTGCTTGCTGGACCTTTCCGGGAGAAGTTGTATGTGAGTCTGAACTCTTAAGCGCCTCTATCATGCCAGGGTCCCTATCGCCCACTTTTTCCCTGCCCATCGTAGGTTCTGCGTATGAGTCTTGACTTTTATCACTGCGACCAATATCTCTAGAAGACCGAAGCTTGTGGGTAAAATCCTTTTTCCATTCGGGGTCATGAGGTGTTTTGGGCGTCTTGAGCCTCGGGAATTCCGGCTTGTTAAGCGCACTTTCCAACCACGAAGCCTTCGTAGGACTCCATCTTTTTGGGTCCATTGTTTTGGATGGAGTGATGGGTAGGTCGTCTGGTGTTGAAACTGAGCCCGGTCTCGAACCAGAATATGAGAAGGACGATCTTCCTATGCGGTTGCTTGGTGTAGTTCCATCTTTGGGAGCTTCGTTCTCGGTATTTGGAGCGGGATTCTCGTCCGAAGAATGCCGTACTACAGTCGCCTCACTATGGCTCGATCCTGGCCGAGAGATGGGTTCTTGCGCCGTCGAGGTAGCTTGGAGCTTCGAGGATTGGAAGCTTGCTCTGGAACCAGGAAGATCACCACGGGTTGAAATAAAACTATTTCGAAAAGTGTTTGAGCCTGGCTGTGCGCTCCATCGTTTTGAAACACTATCGGAGCGTTTCATCATGGCACTTTGGACAAAACCGCCTAAGCCTTTAGTGGGTGACGATGGGCGATCAGATACAAGGCGACTTTGCGAAGGTGACATTGCAACACGATCAGGTGTTTGGTTATCGCCACTGCTCGAAGGTGGACGACCGTCGAGTCTGTGAGTGCTTGACAGTGGAACTGGAGATCCCAGCCCACTGGTTCCAGAGGCGGACACGCTAGAGTAACGATTCCCAAAGCTGCTTCCACCGTAAACGGAACTTGCTCGCGATGGAGAGCGGGACCTTTCGCCATTGTCATAGCTCGCTTCTAGAGCAATGGGGGACTCTTTGCTCAACCCAGGGAGTTTAACGGTGCCCCCAGATAGTTGTAGCTCTGATAAAGATGCATTCGGTGCCCTTCTATATGCCTGCGAGCCAATTCCTCGGTCACTTGTTTGTTTGAACCATGAGGGGTCCTTCGAACCTAACGACTGTGCAATTTGCTCGCGCGACATCGTTGAGTCGGATTCGGTCGCTGACGTCTCTCTATCTGCCTTTTCCGGTGTAATTGGGGTTAGATCCCCGAGAAATTTCAAAGAAGTTAAGGGCTCAATATCTCTTGATAGTGGGCGTTGCCTCCAGGACATAGCGCGGGATCGACTGGATGGGGGTGGGTAATTTTCAGTATTTCCTTTTGAATCACCATCGATTTGATTGTTTATATCCGTATCAACACCATCAGGGACTGTATCGCGTGATATCAGGTCCAAATCGAGGGTTTTTGTAGTGGGGAGCAGCTCAACCGGAGGGACGATTGACTGCGACGGTGTGGACGCGCTCAAAAGCGACTCCCTCTGAATTAGACTACCCAGTATCGGAGGGGAATCCTTCGTCGGAGAAATAGACCGCGCGCGTTCTGTAAAGTAGAATGAATGGTTAGACGTGGACTAAATAGTGGGACGTGGGATTTGTTTATTTATTTTTCTCAATGTTGACATCATGTGAAGGAAAGCTTCAAAGCATACCAGCTCGCCTAGCTTCCCGCTCTCTCCGGCCCTGTAAGATCTCCTCTTCGAGTTTTCTCGTTCTCTCCTCATCTTCCTTATCGCGTTTCTCGCCGAGCTCTCGGATGCGTACGAGGAAGTCGTTGACATCCTCCGCACCTTCAGGGCCCTGCTCGAGCGACATTGTGTGCCGTCACTCAGCAAAATCCAAACAGCCTGGTGGCGCTGACAACCTCTTTTGCAACCAACAACCGCCCCAGGTGCGTTCTCGTCCTCGCATCAAGACCCTCACCAGTCGGTAGGAAATAGCTTAGGACCAGTAATTGGGCGGGTTGAAACATCCGAATTTACAGTCCAACCGAGCCACCTGCCTGCCTTACATAATGAGATTCCCCCGACTCCCAGCAAGCGAGAGAGCATCGTCGGCACGCAGATGGCAGTCCCAACTCCTGCTTCGTGATGAATCAATTATCGCTTTTGTCCTAGGTGAATGCGGCTAACTACGTGACAGGGACGGAGTCCGTTGGCTTTCTTGTTATGGGCAACATGACTTTGGTTCCCCAACTCCTGCGACCCATGGGCCGGGAGCTGTCCCGCCCAGGCCCTGAAGAAAATTCAGCTGCAAGACACCTTGTTGCCCGCATCATATTACTAGCTACATAAGTAAGTTATGCACTCTGTGCTTTGTAGTTCTTTGTTATCAGGAATTCATAATATCAACGGTCCCGCTGTGGCACCTGTAACTATGACGATACGTAAAAGTATTTGTTTCACGTAGAGCTTCTAGTTCGCGTCCTCTCGAAACGTAACTTAGCCTCGTGGCTGGGAAACTCAGTTGGAACAGGTTGACGCCGCCGAGTCAGTAAAGAAACAGACGTTCTTTCGCATCCTGTACCACCCATGAAAGGCCCTCATTCAAGTTTAGGCCCGTCATAGCACTGCATCGGATTATGGTCCATTTATGCGTTTTAATTGCATCTAACTGCAGTGCCTGCGATAGTTAATGCCAGCTTCTTGGAGTATGGGGGAGTCACGGCGTAGGGTGGGAAAATCTTACTTCTCGAACATCCGCTTCATTCATACAGCCATCAACATCGGTTTTGTTTAGAAAAACTAGAAGACTCGCCCCCATAAGTCGCTTTTCATAAGTCAGCCGTATTACGTTTGCACAAGTTGCTAAAACAATAGGTGTTGCAAGGCCCGAATGTCCTCACTGCCCATACCTCTTCCAAAAGCAAGCCAGCCAGCTCCTGGCGGCAATCATCAACTCTCAATCGGTCCGTAGCATCAACCACCCAAATCAGTGCGTCCGTCTTTTCGAAATAGTTTCTCCAGTAAGATCGTAAAGTTTTTTGGCCGCCAACATCCCCTTGCCAACACGAGCTTCAGCGGCCTTCATCAAAAAGGGGTTGGTAGTGGGTTCATCTTACAGATATTCAACTTATACCTAGCCAGCCCGTCAGCGATTTTGTCAAGAAGCAAAGGAACTCCAACGCTTACCCCCCAAAATCGATGGTTTTAATAATAAAACCGAGCGTTGGGCTTACGGTGGTGACATCTTCATTCATAATCCTTTTCACAATGGTGGTTTTGCCTGCGTTGTCCAGTCCTCTGACGAGGATTAGCAGAAAGCAACAGCGGAAGCCAGGGAGAGCACTGGCCGTACAGCATTAGAATCCGCATCTCCTTATCCTTGAGTCGAGCTTTTCTCAGAACTGAAAGCATGCCTACTATGTTCAATCCTTCCTGCCCTTTATTCCACGTAGAAGTAATGTGTGTAGTGTAGAAAAAGCAAAATTGCTATCTTTTCGCTGGTTGTTCACCATGTTTTTTTCAGGAGTGCCGAGCTACAACATCCATTCGTCGGAGACAGATTGGCTCCGCATGTATCAATAACACAACTACTGTTCGGGACTAACACACAGAGGTAAATTTTTTCTCTTTGATAGAAAAGCTTTTGGGATTTTTCATTTTCCTTACTTTCTTTTGTGACTCATTCTATCTCTATCTGGTTTCATGGCAACAGCGTAATAGCTCACACACGTGCACCTCTACACCCCCTTCACATACCTACTCACAACATCTTCCCGCTCGACTTACCTTCTCATTCTATGTGATTTTTCCAATCTATCTCTCATCATTATTCTTCATCCGCTTCACCTCCTCAAGTGATAAAGTACTGTGTCAACCACCTGATTATCAAGTGATATCGGGCTGCATTCCTCTTCCGGTATGTATCGACCAAACATCATGGCTTAGCACTGTGAACCAACAGCAGTTTGGACTCTCAATAGAGGAACTTAACTGTTGGTTTTCATGCACGGACATCAGAGTCTTGCCTTGTCTGTCTGATATCTAACAATGGTTCTAGCGGTAACTCAACATGGACTCCAACGCGGGTCCGGAAAAGTGGAAGGAACTCATGGCAGCTTTTCGGGCATTTAATAGTCAAGCTGCAACCAAGTATAGGAATATGCCCAAAAAAACAGAAAACGAAGCTGCTTCTCATGCAGCAGAGACTCCCAGGTTCAAAGCGACACCTGCAAAGCATGCCTCTGACAGCCGAGATGCTAAGCTCAATGTCAGTATGGGAACTGCAAGTACTGTCATGACTTCTCCAAACTCCGGAAAGCCGAGGAATCCTGTGGAAACCCTAGCAAGCAGCGTTTCATCAGGAACATCCAAAAAAAATCACGTTGAAGTAAACAAACAGAACACAAGATCACAAACGAATGACATTCCAGCCAATAGAGCTGAAAAACGTGAGTTTGAGTGGCTCATCTTCTTCTAGTTTCCCCTCTTTTCAGTATACTACCTCGCTTTTTTCACTTTGATCCCTCTGATTCGTCTCATATCTTTGTGGCAAATATCTCAGTGAACCCCTTGCTGACTTTGTTAGTTTCCACCTCCAACTCTATTCCCATCAAGTCATATCCCATTCTGACGGATCTGCCTAGAGACACGGCTCCGGAAGACCAAGCTGTCAGCCCAGCTTCTAAGCCATCCATGTCGGTCAGCTTTTCTGTTTCAACAATAGAACCAAGGATCTCCGAACAACTTGAACCCGAAGACCTGCGCAGTGGATCAAGCTGCCAGGAAGCGAAAGAGACTGCGGATTATCATGTTGCTGATGGTATATCCCCTGTTGTTCCCCAGCCCATTATGGGACTCATTCTAATTATGGCCCTTCTAATATAGATATGGATTCAAGCGGCTCTGACGAGATAGTTTTTCGCCAAGACGAACATAACATGGTTGGCCCTCGATTGCATGCTCGCAAGCAGGGCGTTGAGCAAGATAAAGGAAATCCAGTTGTGGCACAAAGGGACGCGGGAAAGGAAAGTGGCGACCCTTCAATCGGCCAGTCGGTTCCAAATGCGGAGAAAAATAAAAATGCACCTGTTAAAGTGTTCACCATAGAAGAAAAAAGGGCCAAGCTTCAAAGGCTCCAAGAACGAGAATTGCACAAGATTCGTATGAGGCTACTCGAACCCGAGGAAGATGAAATCAGTGCGAAATCGTTAAAGCTTGCTCGAGAAGGACCAGGGACTAGCCCTGATTCTGAAATCTCTCATCGCATTAGAAGCTTTGTCCTCGAGCCACCCAAGGGCATAAATCTAGCTCTTCCGGATTCAGAGTCTGCTAGCCACGGTCACCATCGTTCGACCGGTATCGTAGTTGCAAGATCTACCCTCACTGTCCCCGAAGATCACCGAGAAGCCAGCATTGAGTTGCGAAACAATTCAGATTTTCAGCCCGTCTTGGTCGACTGGCAATATCGTCCTTGGGATATCCATGATGATGAGTGGACCAAAAGATTCGCTGACTGGTTGGAGTGCACTATAAGACTTGGCTCCTACGTCGAGATACATTCTGGCCCTTTCACCAACGCCGACTTCCATCCTGATGGAGTAACCGGGTTTGTGGAGCTGGATTTTGAAGCGCCAACCGCCCATCTCGATATGTCGATTCCGGAAAATGCTCATGCCCATGAAACATCTGCCGGGTATGTTTATAACTGGAATCTCAGACTTGAGCACGAAAAGGCCAAAGAGATAGAAGAGAAGAAACGGAACACTGCCCATGTCAGAGCTGTGGCTAAGATGAGACCTGAACCGCACCCTTTTGCTCCAAAGACCAACGTTTATCTCCGCCCGGTGGAGGCAAAGGATATCCCGGGTTTGACCAAATTGTATAACTGGTACATTAAAAATTCCACGCGATGCATTGAGTTGGACGATATATCTGAAGATGTAATGAAAATTCGTGTGGACGAAAATGAAGCTGCGGGCTTCCCCTGTCTTATCGCAGCAGAGCATAAGCCAGGACGCGGATATCCCATGAATAGCGAGAACGAGATGATTTATGGCTTCATTATGGCAAGTGAATTCTCCGGCAAACGAACTGCAAATAGATATGCGGCCGAGTTGGAATTGTTCGTCAATCCAACACAATATAATCGTCGTGTTGGCCGAAGCCTATTGGATAAAATGATCGACTTGTGTGACCCAAAATACACGCCCAAACGTGGCTATAATTTCGACTGTGTCATGCCCAAAAGAAGCCTCTATTGCGGTGTAGACGTCCGCCCGTTATCAAGGCTCGTCGTTGTCGTGCATCATTCGGCTGATGAAGTAAACGAATATCGATGGTTAAGAAGATGGATGGAGCAAGAATTTGGCTTCGTCGAACAGGGACTGCTTCAAGGAACCGCAGTTAAGCAGCGGAAAGTGTAAGTTAATCTTCATTTTTCCTCCTTTGGAAGCCGGCTAACAAGGCGATAGACTGAACTCCGCTTATCTCGTCCGTAATACCCCTCTACAGCCCGAAACAAAGGGGGACAACCAAGTCGTCCAGTGGCGCTTCCGTTAAGGATGCTTGAGATTCGGAATCCCAGGCGACTTTAAGGCCGGCGAAATCAAACAAAAATTTCCAAATCTTTATGGGCCTTTAGGGGGCCAATTTCAGCAGCCTTTTCTTATTTGTCTTCTTTAAATTGTTATCCTTAGCTTGGGCCTGTATTTTGTTTCAACTAACTCGAAATTCAGCCCTTGTTTCAGATAGAAAAAAGATATGCCCCTTTCCCACCCAAAAACAATCCCACAGTGGTCACATTTTGATGTATTTCCTGGTTGTGCCCTCTCGAACTTCTGGTTTCCTGCGGATTTAGCAATTTTGACGCCAGTTTGCTTCCATTTGCCGAGGACTGAAAATTGGTGGAAATATGCACCTAGATTGTTTAAAAAAAAAAAAAAAAAAAAAAAAAAAAAAAGAAATGCAATTTCCATCAAAGTAAGTGCTTGCTTCCACGATTGTTTTTTTCAAGGGTGCTAATGCCCAAGACGCAATAATACGTATTTTTCGCAGAATGCCTGTCTTCGAGGAGTTGTGGCCTGGCGAGCCAAATCTAAATGGGCGGTGAGTACGGCAGCCCATAGCATCCAACCCGCCAAAATTCGTTTTTCACTAGTAATTGAAACTGCCACATCAAAAGTTTTATTTCAACTACTCCATACGGAGTACGGAGCACTCCATACTTATAGCCCAGACTACTTATCATGTATGGCAGATGTACACTGCGCAATATATTTCAGACAGATAATTCTTTACAGAAAGTTATATCAATTCTATTTCAGTATAAGTTGTGACGGTTAGCGGGGCGCCGGCAACGGCCGCCATTGCACCGTCCCTCTGGGCGCAGGCCATGCTCATTGGGCGCGGTACAATCATTACCCACACGCGTTGAAAAGAGGATCCAAGACGGTCGATGGGACTTTGACCCAATGAAAAGGTCGCACTCTGTCACAGTTTCGCCTCAGTGCCACCAAGCTGGCGAAGCGGCAAGGCGACACTTGTCCGAACAGAAGAGGAAGCCGGGTGTTTCGTGGCCATTGTAAGCACACTTCTCAAACAAAGCCGACATTTGAGATAGCAGCATCAGGCTTGGCTCTGTGCATGTAAAAGTGAGTTCTAAACTTTAAGCGTACTTGTCCGCTCTGACTGACAGGAATAACGAGGAATGCACTTCTCTGGTAGTTAAAGCGCTTTGACGTAAGGACACTTTAGTGCTGACTTTCTTGTTGCGGGTCTGGAGATAACCTCAGCACCATTAAAATGTTTGTTGCGTTTGCAAAAGTGTAATCAAAGAAAACTAATCCGGTTTCCTCAGTTAATTCCGAAACGTGAGCTTGCCCAATATGAAGACTTCTTTGATAGAGGATTGGGGAAAAGCAGCCTAAGTTCAATTGAAGGATGAACGTTAAAGAAATACCCAAGTTATGGTTCCAACAGCCAGCCATAAAGCCAAGTACAGTACTCCTGGGAAACCGCCTGAAAAATTGAAAGATGCTTATTTTTATTATGTACTATAGATCCTGTCCCGTCTTTGTTGCTTCGCGGCTGCAATTTCCCTGGCTCTTGTCTGTCAAGCTCCCATTTGCATACCTATTCCCCCTACTGAAACCGCACTCTACAACATGTAAACAAGGCATTTGCCCGGGGCATATTGTCATTCCATGGAGAAAATTGAATACAAGAAGAAAAAGCAAATCAAGCTGGTTCACATCGCCCAAATTAAGGCTTGAAGTTCAACCAGGGGTCATTGTACAGCTCTCTAGCCGTTGCCCGATCTTCTGGCATCCAGCGCAGCATTTTGCCCACAAATTCAAGGAAAAGTCTTTTGTCTTCCCCGTGGACAAATGGTGTAAGGTTTGAAAGATTATATTCCTCAGATGGGATTAAATCTGGCAATTTGAACTCTCCTAATGAACACTTAGTTATCGCCCGAGACATAGAAGTGGGAGATATCCATACCGTGGCTGGAGAAGAGCTCGGAGCAAATGCCTTGGTCTGCCCTTTCCAGTAACTGCAGTGGAGGCGGACCAAGCAGCCGTATTATTTGGGCTATGTGTTTTACTCGCGAATACGTGCTGCTCCCGGAGTCCAGCCCATCAAAAAGAACACGATCTGCAAGAAGCTCCCATAGCTTTACGGGAACGAGATGTCAGTGACCCCTGCAAGCATCTTCCTCAGGGCCATACCACGGTGCCCAAGTTCCATATATCCGCACTATACGTCCATGTCGCCTTTAAAAGAACCTCTGGCGCACAAAAGGGCTGAGGTTGAATATCATGGTTATGAGGCTTAGGAACGTTGCCGAAAACAGCAGCACTAAAGTCGCTGATCTGAACCAGTCCTACCCCTTTCCTCAGATGCCCGAAATCCGGACGAGACTGAAATACAGGACGACCACCGTCGTCCCAAAACGCAGCAGGCTTGCTTTCTTGTTGGCGAGCATAACTCTCAAGAACACCAGAGTCTTCGAATCCCAAGAGAAAGTTATCTGCCTTGAGATCTTCGCTATAATTAGAGAGGATGATAGGTAGGGAACAACTTAGAAGGGACCTACCTGTATGTATAATATGGCACTCGGAATGGAGAAAATCAAGGCCCTGAAGCAATAATTTTAAAAATGGCTTTAAGACGGCGGGAGGCACACCATTGCTTCCAAGGTGTTTCCCCAAAAGCCAGAGCGGTTCCCTTAACGGTTCAAATACCAAGCATAAATGCTCTCCCAGCGCGCCTTGGATGCCAAAAGACTCACGCACAAGCCGAACATATGCCCGGCCCTCATGATTAGATCGCAGCTGAGAGATATATCGCGATATTTCTACTTCTTCATTGGCAGATCTTTGTTCTTCTTTGCCAGAGTTCGTAATTTTTAACGTCACATATCGGTTTGACTGCCACGCCCAACTTCACAGTGTTATGAAAGCAAGCATAAAGGGATGGGCGAACTAACCGAGTCGTGTCTTTTGCTAGCCAGACAGTAGAATTTGCACCCCAACCAAGCTTTGAGATGATACGGTATCGTCTGGATATGGTCTCTCCAACACGAGCAGGATAATATTTCCTCGGATCATAATCCGGATTTTGATCCTCTTCTCGAATGAAGGGAGAAGACATGGCTCGAGAAACCAACCTGAAACTAGGAATTGATGAGAAAACTCGCGTTAATTTCACAGGAGGTCGATGGTAAGCAGACATTTGGAAATAGTTGAGAGATGGCTGTGTCTGCCCAAGTTACAGACCTTCCGTTTAAAAGTCGGAAAAGGTGCTATTATTTTCCGAGAACCCGAATCTATGTTACCGCCTCAGTGCGCATGCGGCGCGCAAGAAACAGTCACCCATGTGCTGGTGGACTGCCCGAACTTGAGGGAACTTCGAAGAGAGTTGCGGAGAGAAGTGGCAGACGCGTTCAATAGCGTATCGAGTCTGCTGGGAGGCTCAAAACAAGGTGAAAAAGGTAAACCAGACACCGTCTCGCGAGCCAGGACGGTCAAAGCCGTACTGGACTTCGCTGAGGCGTCACAACGGTTTCGGAGTCGCGCGCCACAAGAGTAGCCTAACAATGGGAATGGCAATTAGGCCACGGTAGGCCTTGACGAGGCTCTAAGTTCGTTTTCAGGAAGTGGAACACTCTACATGTACATACAAGGATATATATAGTGGTTGTATCCTGCATATCGTTACGAGGGGTCAGGGTAAATGATTTCACACACACACACACACACGCACCCTGTAAGGAAAAGTCTCTTAGAAAGTAGGCTGCAAGATCATGTGGGTCGTTCTTGCAGTGCAAGTGTGTTCAACCAATATTGATTCGAGACTTGCGCTTTTTTGATCGGCCTCATGATCTTTCGGCCCGTGATTTGATGAATCCAATTGTTCGACCCCAGATTATTGAACAGAGGTTGAACAGATATGAAGGTAGTGGAGCCTTTGAGAGAAAAAAGAAAAGAGCAGAAAAAGCACGGCGTTTTCCTGAAGTCCCAGAATGCCATTTCGGCGGAATGCGGGCTCAAATCAACTTCGTCTGGCGTGCTATCGTCTCGGGATTGCCTGCAGGACATAACCCACGCCATATTTCTTTTGAAGAAACTGTGGCACTCCAAAGCTTACGCTTATTGCTCCCCCGCGGTGTTTCGAGGCCGCCATCGAGGGTAGAAGCAACCCGATCTTCACGCAAGTGGGGCGGGGCTCAGCAGAGATGAAGAGGCGATCAGATCTATTGCAGGCGGCCTTGAAGGGTGAAACACACGGGAGACAGAGGCTCTGAATCCATCGGAACTCAAAAGCCTTAGCTAAATAGCCGGAATCGACGGAGAGCCGTTGTGGCTCCCAGTCCCAGGCTCGCATCTTGCACGCAACATAGACGCCAGTTGGGGGTTCTCCCACCGTGCTGGTCGGGGGCGCAAGGCCTAGCCTGCCTGGTGCTACCTCACAGAGCCTACGCACTCAATCTTACCGCCCAGGTCATCAACATTTACGCCTCCCACCCCAGCGCTCTGTTCTCGTTCATCCGACTCTCCAGATGCTCATACCCCAAGCTTAATCCAGTCCTCAACCTAGAACCCTATGCGGATCTCCTACAAACGCTTCAGACCGAATCGATCATGCGCCTTGCCGCGCCCGTCCTCGCCTTCAAATCTTGCCACCAATATGTCTGCCTGGTCCGACTCCGCTTCGATTCAACATCAGCGATACGTATATGAAGTCCAGAGTTCAATGGTTTATAGCAATCTAAGAGACCGGTCATTGGCCTAAAAGTCCTAGGAAGGAATTCGTTTCTGGCAGCGAAGTGCCCAGGGCGCCGACTCAGGCAAGCTGTGCCGCAAAATAAGACTGCGTAATAGACGGCGCCTAGCACATTGTCGGGGGCGGGGGCACTCTGGAACGTGAAAAGCTGGAGAGAAAGGCGCCCCGTTGAATACATGGACGAAAAGGAATTGATAGGGACACCACCCTTTTTACTCTAGGCACAAATTTATGCGGATTATGATTTCACGTGGTTTATTTCCGCCGTATTTGATCATCCTGTCCTGCCATGGCCACACGGACAAGAGGCCTCGGGATGCGCCGATCACATACCAATGAGATCCGGTCAGCTCTTTCCGTCCTGCTTCGCGGCACGTGATGTCAAATAGCCTTGGCGCAACTGCGAAAAGGGGATCGGAGTTCCAAAACTGGGTTTATAAAGGGAGAACTGCTATCGAAATCAGACCAAGATCCATCAACTTTTTTCAAATTTAAATCATCTTCGCTAGCGGTTGCATCCGGATCACTGCTCGATGTTGCCATCCACAAAGTTAAACCGTCGTCTGCTCCATGGCGAAATTACGTATTCTGCTGCAAAAGAACTCGAAACTAATGTCTTGCATTCGTTGGGCTTTTTGGACCAGCAGAATAAATATTTTGAAGATTTACTCCGGAAGAGCCATGTCATTGAAGCTGTGGTGGCACACCATCTCAACTTGGTTTCCACAGGCTGCCACGTTGCGGATCCAAAGGAGTGGCTCTCCGGAACCTTTAATGTTTGCATCCCAATCTATGTTGATAACAAACAGGATCCCAGTTTTCTTCTCCGTCTTCCACTGCCACACAGGCTGGGAGAGAATGTCAACCCAGGAAACGCTGATGAGAAAATCCTTTGTGAAGTTGGCACCTATATCTGGCTCCAGCACAACTGCCCTGAAGTCCCTACCCCGCGACTGCATGGATACGGGTTATCAAATGGACAGAAGGTAGGTGCGCCACCTTTTTGTGGCCGGCTTTCGCTAATAATTAGTTTACTGCTCTCAAAAACCTTCCTTTCTTGACTCGTTTCGTGGAATTCTTCCGCCACCACTTTTTAACTTTCCTTGGGTACCCAGTCCCATCCAAATATGTCGCTCACAAGAGCAAGTTGAGAGAGTCATTGGGAGTCGGATATCTCCTGATTGAATACATTGATACGTCACGTGGCAAAATGCTGTCTGAGTCGTGGGACCAAGGACGGCACAATGCTCAATTACGAACGAACCTTTTCCGAAGCCTGTCTGATATCATTCTGGCTGTTGCACGTACTCCTCTACCGAAGATTGGTTCTTTCATTGTGGACGAAAAAGGTTTTCTGAAACTAACGAACAGGCCCCTTACCCTTGAAATTCAGGGTCTTGAAAATGAGCATATTCCTGTGGATATCCCGCGCGAGTTTACGTATTCCACCGTAGACGCCTACATCAATGACATCCTTGCTTTCCATGAGAGCCGCCTCCGTCACCAACCTAATGCGGTTAATGATGTTCAAGACTCTTTATTCCAAATGGCTGCTCTAACGGTGATGAGAGCTGTTCGACACATATTCTTTTGCCCTGAACTTCGCCGAGGCCCATTTTTCATGAGCTTTACAGATCTTCATCAAAGCAACATTTTTGTCGATGATAAGTGGAATATTACGTGCCTAGTTGACCTCGAATGGGCCTGTTCTCGTCCAGTGGAAATGATTCATCCTCCGTATTGGTTGACAAACCAATCTGTCGATGGGATTAATCTTGGCGAATACGAGCGCCTTCACAAGGAATTTATGCAAGCTTTCGCAGAACAGATGCTAAAACATCCTCGTCAATCTGGGGGACAACTCCATTCCATACTCCAGGAAGGATGGAACAAAGGCACGTTTTGGTACGCCCTTGCACTTGATAGCCCGACTGGACTTTTTCGAATCTTTTACGACCACATACAACCGCGATTCTCAAAAGATCATATAAATGATGCAGCATTTTTCCGGATCACTATGGATTACTGGACTATCAATGCAGCCAAATTTATCCAGCAAAAAGTGAAAGACAAAGAACAGTACGATCAGCTATTGCTCGAAGCTTTTGAACAATCTTCCCCGGATCGGCCCATGTATCAATAATACCAGTCACCTTCCTCCTGTTGCCCCGTGCCGCTGGGTACCTCCACCCTCACTGCTACCCTGATCATTTTCGCGAGCTTGCAGATCTCTTGCTGCAGTGTCAAGAGATGCCAGCGCATTTTGGATTCGTTTCTGCTGGGCGCTTCTCCCTGATGAAGAAAGTTGGTTAAGGGTTTTGGGGTCGCCTTTAATGCCCACTTTCGCTTCTTCAATGGTAGCATTATAAGACGAGTCCGACCGGCGATCGGCCATTTTCTAAAACCTTGAGTAATGTTAGCATGGATCTTCCTGTTTTCCTCTCTTTCTTAATTGTAACCTAGTTACATACTCTGAATTGCTGTTCGTCTGAGCCAAGTAGGTTTGAGGACTTGGATTTACGCTTGGGGCGGTTTGATTGGTTTATATATATTTTCTGGCGGCGAAGAAGCAATCCTTGTCTGAGCTTTCCTTGGGTCCATGGCAGAGTAAAATATGTCAGGTTCAACAGTGTCTGCAAAGTCGTGGTGCAAGTAGCCAGGGATGGGGTTCCTAGCGCTGCTGAAGTGCCACATATGATATCTCTGGGAATATAAAATCCAACAGATCACTGGATCAGCACTGTATGAATTTGGGTGCTTGTACTCCGTATTGGCCAGGAATAAAGTGGGTGCGACAGTGAGTCAGGTGAAGGCATCGCAACGCTATTCGGCAAGCCAATTAAAACTGACTCTTAGTTCATTAGCAGACGCTAACATCTTTCACGGTGAACTCGGACACACAGTGAACTCGGACACTTTTGCACATGACATAGTCTGATTTTTCAGCACCAATCAAATCTCACAGTCTTCATCATCATACATTCATTTCACAGCAAAAATGAGCACAAACAGACTGGTTTTGGCTGCTTCAGCAGTACAGAATCAAGAATTAAGTCAACAGAGAGCTGCTACATTATATGATGTTCCTCTTTCAAGTTTAAATGATTATATTTCTTGTCATATGAATAAAAAGATAGCTGATTCAAAGAAACAAAAATTATTAGTTTCTGAAGAAGCTGCTCTTGTGAAATGGATTCTTTCTATGGATAAACATGGCCTTCCTCCTCAACATTCTACTGTATGAAGCATGGCAGATCTTCTTCTTGAGAAATAGGGAGATAGAATCCCAAAAACTGTTGGACAAAACTGGACAACAATCTTTGTGAAACAACATCCTGAGCTGAAGTCTAAATTCATACAAAAATTCACCTACAAACGATCTCTTTGTGAAGATCCAAAGATTATACAGAAGTGGTTTGATTTAGTGAAGAAGATTATGGAGGAATATAAGATATTGCCTGAGGATGTGTACAATATGAATGAGATTGGATTTGCAATGGAAATGATTTCTACTTGCATGATTGTCAATAATTCTGAAAGAAAAGATTGTTCAAAGTTACTGCAGCCAGGAAATCAAGAATAAACAACAATGATTAATGCAGTTAATGCATCAGAATGGGCTCTGGCTCCTGTAGTTATATTCAAGAGAAAGAATTCTTCTTTGTACAAAGATGAAGTTTTCTTACCATCAGATTGGACTGTGAAATCTAGTCCAAATGGCTGGACAACAGATGAGCTTGGGTTCTTTTGGATCAAGAAGATTTTCAACAAGCAAACCCAACATTATACAAAGAGCTGATATTGACTGCTGATTATAGACAGTTATGGAAGTCATGCTACTTCAGAGTTTGACTTCTTCTGCATGAAGAATCAGATTATTCTTCTCTACATGCCTTCTCATTCTTCACATCTTTGTCAGTCATTAGATGTGAGCTGTTTTGCTTCTTTAAAGCAATCATACAGACAGCTTGTTGAGAATCAAATTTGATGTGGGATTAATCATATGAATAAGATGGACTTTCTGTCTTTATATTCTCAAGCTCATGGCAGCACATTCTCTGAGCAAACCATACAAAATGGATTCAGAGCTACTGGATTGATTCCATATGATTCATATGAAGTCTTGTCCAAACTCCCACCATCCACTCTCTCTCAATCTAGCATCTCTCATAGCTCTCTAAGCTCTTGGACTCCTTGAATCCCAAACAATACCAATGATGTTTGAAGACAATCTGCCAGACTCCAGTATTGACAACAGCTTCATACAACACCTGTCTCAAGTCCAACCAATCAATTTATGGATAGACTCTTCTATAACTATGAGAAGCTCATGGTTGAGAATGTCCTGCTTATACAAGAGAACATGGAGCTTTGTACAGCCAATGGGAAACAGCAATGGAAGACAAGAAGAAGCACATATGTTCCTCAGGGAGGTGCAGCAAGGCATGTACAGGAAGATAATGAAGAACCTGTGCAAGAGGCTTGTGACTCTGTTCAAGTAGCTGGTGTTACTGTATGTAGTGAAGAATAGACTAGCTTGTTTGACAATCTCATAACATTTTTCTTTTCTTCTCTCTTCTCTCTTCTTCTCTTTCTCTTCTTCTCTTCTTCAACCCATCATTACATCAAACATGTATGTACAAAGCTTTATACAAAGCTCAGGTAGGTCAATGCATCAATGGAATATGAAGCTAATCAATTCTTCGTACAATATACAGCGCTCTCCGTTCTTGGTCTCTCTGGCCCCCAGGGTCCCAGGACACCATACAAAGAAATAATGATGACCCTGTGCAGGAAGATGGTGAGAACTCTGTGCAGGTGACAGGTGAAGACTTTGTACGAAGGTGTGCCCCCAAACACTGCAGCATATGCCAAGCCCTTGAGCATACTGCCTGTACATGCCCTCATCATGGTTAGCAGTGGGCAGCTAATTGGTTGGGTCATGATTGGAAAAGTTTCTCCACAAACAACAGACAATGACCTTGAAAATCTCTTCAGCGGTATTGCTCTGCCGGATAAGGAATCAGGAGAAAGGTGTCACCATCAGGTTTGGGGAGCTGTATCCGCTCTGCAAAACAAGTCCGTGATACCAAAATTTGATATCAAAAAGTTCAAAGATTGGCTATTGGATTATGCCAATCAGTGGCTGGCCAAGCCTGATCCACGCACTGTTCATGATTATAGAGACAAGCTAGTTGCGCGAAGTGTTTCCTGGTTCATCATAGTCTCCAAAGAATTTGTTCTGCCATGAGCTCATCCACATATGAAGGAAGCTTAAGTTTGATTCTCTCATGCCACTCTGGCACCTTAGACAGGCACTCTGGATATAGAAGCATTAGTTTCTGAATTCAATGACTTGCCAAAAAAGAAGTAAGAGTTACTGTTGGTTTGGGGTTGTTCATCTCTCAATTTATCACCCTGCGCTTGAGTGTTCCCTGAAACATGCTCCAACATCTGTAGAGTTTGGGATGGCTTTGACCTGGGCATGTATAAGCACAGCCTGTTTGAATTCCAGCTCCATCAGCTTGCCTTTCTAAGATCTCAAATATGGAGCGGTGTTCCAAAACATATGCTCTCAACATTTCTGTTAAACCAACAGGATGTTCAACCTGCCTCCACCATTTTCTTAACTCATATACTGCTTCAATAGAGTTCACTGTTCCCAGTTTAGTAACACTGACTCCAAGGCCACATAGCAAAAACACATCAGCTCCTAGAGCCCTATCATTGTAAACACAAGCCAAAAAACTTCGAGCCTTTTCCCTTGCCGCTTGTCATGAATATGAGTCAGGACTTAGCCATAGCTGAAGACATTGAGCAAGCTGCACCTTCTGTCAATCAAGAAGATCGTCCTTTGTCTCACTGAATAGCTTTCTTTGGGATTCAAGGATGGGTATGATCTTGGGAGTCGAGAGTTTTCTAATTCTTTGCACCGTTTGCGTGTCATAATGTTCAAAAGTGAAGAGCTTGAACAACGCCGGTTACAGCAGGTTAGAATGAGGATAAACTGGTTAAAGTTGGTTAATGGAGTTGGTGGGTGGGGGATGGTTAAATGGGGTTCGACGGAGCAACGCCTCTTACTTGCATTAACGTCTTTCACGGTGAACTCGGACACTTTTGCACGTGATATAAAACCTTCTTAAGATGGCTTGCTTGGCTTCACCAAACAGGCTACTAGTCCCAGGCACCACATAGAGGTGCAAGCCATGCCTAGGTGTTGTACACAGGCTCTGTACAACTGGAGTAAATGAAATCATACATACCTAGCCTGCCCTGGAGAAAGAACTTGAAAGCAGAAACAAAAAAAATCATACATACCAGAAGTTATTCAATAAGGATTGCAAAAGATGGTGTTGAACCATCTGTAATCAAGGCCCTAGGACACCCACCAGACTGTTGAGAGCCATCCTCTTCATCTGAGTCAACAATCTCTATCACCTCCACTGCATCCTCTCCATCTTGTATGGAGCAGCAGCTGGCATGATCACACCATTTGCAGTTACCACATGCTCTGCTAAAGTGGCCTGGTAACCAGCAGCACTCTGGGAACAGACAAAGACCTGGACCACCACGGCAAGCAATACAGGCCTGCACCTTCGGCCGCCCATGAGATTGGATGAGGATGGCATTTATGTATGAAGGCTGGTGACTCAAAACCTGATATTCATTCATACTGCCGCGTACAAAAGGAACATCCTGCCCTGGAAGGGCCAGAACCGCTCTAGCCTGTGGACTATGAGCAAAGGGACTCAATTGCTGACCAGCAACAAAGAGGATTCGATGGGCCACATTATTGTTCAGCCTGAAGTACCAATCTCTCTCAGGGTTGAGGTCTTGTCCAGTTTCGCTATCCAACCGAAGGCCGTCCGAAACGTCATATGCCATGTTGTCGCGGCTGCTGGACTTTTTGGGTGCTAACAAATCTCCCCAGTGGTATGCACGGAACGTGCCGCGGAAGCCTTCTTGAAAAGATATTTCATCTCAGTGATGAATGGAGATAAATAGGCGCTTTTTATTGCTCATACCTGTAGCACATTCAAAGCCATTAGATTGACATTTGTACTCTAGTCGGAAGGTTATTTCTTACTGTAAAGGTCTGGGGATGGAAAATCAGTATAAGCAAGGCCAGTAGAAAATCGGAATCTCGTTTGTCAAGAGCTGGACACTGAGCATAGTCTCTTAAACTGTCAGAACAGTATGAGAGTAGTTATATGAGTAGAAGGTACCATTCTCGAGGCAAAACCTTGCTCCGCTCCTTGCCAATCAGATGGGCGGCTAGGCACACCGTGATCCATGCAGGCACCTTCCAACATATGCGGCATCAGATATTGTGTACTGCATGGCTAAATTTGATTGGCATGCTGGTGCTGGGATCCGAACACAAGATTTTAGACTGATCTTGCTCATGCAATGCATTTCTGCTGGACTGTAGGCTCTAGCAGCTAACCAATGAAGGTAGGGATTTCTTGCCTGCAAACAGCCCAGCAGCAATGCAAAATTCAACAGCAGAAGCAGGGCACGCTGTACTAGCTGCTTCTCCTAACTATTGGTAAATAAGTGGGTTCCCTAACTTGCAGTCTGTTGCAAGCCTCACAAGTTTCTCCAGAGTGCAACTCATCTCTGGGGACGCCGAAGCAGTGGGGCTAGCAGCTGATGCACGCCCGTGGCGAGGTGATGTGATTTTACGCAACTAGCGCGATCCGAGGGGATGATTTGGGTTGCCCAATGCTTGCATTACCTGCACGAGCGTTCACAGGGAACTTTCCGTCTCCATGGAGAAAGGAGAGTTAGCCTCGCATCTTACTCCCTGTATTAATGGACGAAACCTGGGGACGCT